CTTAGGTTAATCCTATTCAATAATTTTTAATATATTTTTTCCTTCCGATTTTAAAACTTATCTTTAATTTATCTGTAATCTATCTGATTTTGGTGAGTCAATTAAAGAATTTTTTTTATATGAAAAGACCCGAATTCGAAATCTTATTTAAACGATATCAAATTATTTATTATTTAAATCAATCACTGTTAAATTATTTTTAACATTTAATTGTTTTGATTCATAATTTTTAATATTTTATCATTTACGAATATAATTAGATTTTAAATAAAAATCACTAATTAACTAATATTCAATTAAATCTCATTAATTGTAGTCATTCTTGATTACACTAACAAACATTAAGTTGAAAAAATATTTATACTCCTACCATCCTCCTGATGATTAGCACAAATGGAACACTTGGCATCCTTCTGCGAAAAATGTCTTTGGACACGTTTTGCGTTTGGTCATGATTTATAACTTTTTTAATACGTCATCTATGATCTTTTCTTGGAATATATAAATTATTTCACATTTATAAGTTTTATTTAAAATTACTATAATTTAAATGTTGATATATATTTTTTATTATACATTATAGTAATTGATTATGATCCAAGTATACAAATAAAATTATTGTGATTATAACAAGATATATTCAACTTTGATGAACTTGTACATGCACGGAATATGTCTATAACATTAAAGAAATACAAAAGTATTGTATTTAGGTTAGAGGTATGGGTGGAACACAAGTTGGACAAGAATGAGTCATGGCCCCCTTAAAATTAAAAAAAAATAATTTTGACTTTTAAATTAAAAAAAACAATTTTGCCTTCCCAAAATTTTTTAGAAATTCAAATTAAATTTTATTTTTTAATGTTCTTATTTAAAACCCCTCCTATAATTTTAAAAAAATCTCATTAAATCTCTCAAACTTTCAAAAATTGTAGTCAGACTCTAATTTTTTTAGAATAAAAATATAAACTAAATTCGTTAAAAATTTTAAAAATTTTAATTTAAACCTCTGAATTTTTAAATTTTTAAATTGACCCTCTCAAACTCTAACACCGATTTCACTATGGAGGAATCCAAAATCACATTAAATCTGTCCATAGCTGAATAACAATCCAGTCAAGAAATGGACCCCTAAGATTTAATGTCTATGCTGGCGAGTAGTAATGGCATATTATACTTGTCGTCAACTTTGACCTATGCTGGATATATAATAGTCATAGTAAGTAATCCACCCTAAATTGATAATAGTAGTTATTATTAATCTAATAAGATGATGTGTTGATCTTTTAAATAAAATGGAAGAATTTAAATTTTAATGTTACGAATAGATTTAAAAAAAATAATAAAAACATATAATTTTATAAAAAAAATAAAAAATATCTAAAATTACAATGAGGCTTTACAATTACCTTTGTAAACTAAACACATAATTAGGATATTTTTTCATAACTATTAACACAAGAAACTAATCACTTAAAATCATATAAGAACCATACAATAAAAAGATGAAAACCCCATACAAAAAAACTCAAACAATAGGTAGATACAAACAGATATAATTGCTACGGTAAACGAACCACAATAGGGGATTTAACTACTGAAAGAACATCGGTAAATGTTAATCAGAGCCAAGCATCGCGAGAAAACTATTTACGAATGCATATTGTGTATTCAAATCTAATTTGAGGGTTCATAACAAGAAAGATCATTAGGATAACAAATTAGCGTCATATTGATCAGTCGCGGTGACATCAAATCCAACCACGAGAAAAATAAATGAAAGAAACAACCAAAGATCGAAGAAGAACTAAAAAATGTGTTTTAAAAAAATATGTGATATAAGAAAATAAAAAAATTAACGGCGACAATCAACACTAAGGTTGATGTTGTAGCCTACCAATTAAAGATAAAAAACATAAATAAAATTAAAATTAAAATATCATTCTTATATTAAATATTTATAAAATTTGATGTAAATTAATCTATGGATAAATCATATAGCATCATACCGTCAACTTTGACCTATGGATCGATAACAGTCATGGTTATCAACCTACCATAAAATGATAATAGTTATACTTGATCTAAAGGGGGTGATGTATTAGATCCTTTAAATAAGATTGAAGGGTTCAAATTTTAATATTATGAAAGTGGAAAATTAAATTTAGGGTTTTTTTTTATAATATATTATTACAGTATTCAAACTGGATTAATAAATAATAGTTCAATTATCAATAATACTATAAAGAATAAAAATAATATACAATTTCACATTAATTATTTAGTTTTATCAATATATATATATATATATATATATATATTTTGAAGTTAGATAATTACAAATATAAATATAGTTCTAATTAGAAAATATAATAAAATCTTTTTCAAACACGTTAAATCAAATCTTTTTCAACATGTTAAATATTATATTTAATACACTAACACAACATGATCGTAAATGCAAGAAAGTTTTACCGTAAAGTATATAATATTGATGCGTTTTTTAATATTTGAATTTAAAATCTTAATTAAATCTCACGAATCAAACTATATTAATGACTAAAGGGACGATTGTTATCCCCATAGAAATCAGGTTAGAGTACATTGTATGTTAAGAGTGTTTGAACGTTTATTATCAGATGAATTGAGAGTATTTTGAATAAATATTATTTTGTAATTACCCTTAAATTAATAAAAAAAATCTTAATTAAATTTAAATAATTTTATATCAATTGATGTAAACACACACTTAAATTTATATACTGATTATCAACATGGGTTGGTTTAAATGGTAATCAACTTGATATTGCTTAAACAATATCTCAAGTTCGAGTCATTTTCTATGCAAAAAATCTTTACTGGAAGACTCACCCACCAAAACCAGATGTGCGACACAGATTAGTCTGAATTAGTCATTTTAAAACCTTAAAACCAGAAAAACAGATTTTGATTCATGTTTGTTATAACAAAATATAAACCATGTTTTTATTCTCAAACTCATTTGCTATGTTTTTTTTAGTTTCTGTAATACCTTAATTTTGTCTTAAAACTAAAGAGGGAATAAAATGAAGACCAAGGAGAGAGACCCAACTTTCTTTCATTTTTTCCACGCAACTGGGGATATTTTATGCTTTCTGATTGGCTTTTAAAGCTCCCAAATTAAAATAGGTAAAAATATTTACTTGGACATTATATTTTGTTCCCTCTTTAATTTTATGACAAAATTAGGGTATTATAGTTGTCTTTCTTTGCTCGTATGTTATGTAAACAATTAGGAAGCAAAAACAAATAATGATCTAATTTTGTCTAGTTATGATGTTCGCTCCGCATATGGAGCTCCAATTCTTTGTTTGAAAATAAAGGATTTAAAAAATGACATTGTTTCTTCATGATGAGGGCGTCGGATTAATCTAGAGATAATTTATTCCCTTTATAATTTTAGAAAAAATTAGGATATTACAATTTCATTGCCGAATGAAACTCCATAAATGGATAGAAAAAATATTTTATTTAATACATTAATAATACATTATTATAAGGATAAAAGAGTTTATTCATGAAGTATTTAGTATTATTGTAGTTTCACGGACTTAAATCTAAAGTTTTAATTAAATTAGAATAATCTCGTATAGAGTAGTTTAAACAAACATTTAACAAAAGGGTAAAGTACAAAAATAATCCCCTTACTAATATGGAGATGTTTTATTGAGTCCTACAACTATTAATAGTTATGAATTGGTCATTCGATTATAAGATAATACTTTGTTGAGTCCCCAAACTATTAAAAGTTATAAAATAGTCACCCGACTATTTATATATTTCAAACTTGTCCTTTTATGTTAAACAATTGACGACAATTTGAGCTGGACGTTAATCTGTTGACTATGATATGGTAAAATCCGATCTCAAAATCTCAAATGAATATCTTATCTCAGTCAACAAGTTAACGTCCAGCTTAAATTGTAATCAATTTTTAACAAAAAAAGGACTAATTTGGAACATATGAATAGTCAGGTGACCATTTTGTAACATTTAATAGTCGAGGGACTCAATAAAGCAATACCCTATAGCTGAGGGACCATTTTGTAACTTTTAATAGTTGAGTGACTCAACAAAATAACACCCTATAGTCAGGGGACCATTTGTGTACTTTACCCTTAATAATAATATAACACATGTTGAGACTTTGGTCCCTGGCTTGGAATAAAGCACAATAAAATGAAAAATCATTGCTCTTGATCATTCCCTATAATTTTTCTATAGTTTCTTGTCCATAATGAAACCCCATAAATGCAAATTATAGTTAGAGCCAAGGATGGCGACCGTCTCCATACAAATCTTAAATTTTTATATATTTTAAATATTTTATTTGTATTTTTTATTGAAAATGTATTTTCGTCAAATTTTATAAATTCACTCTCTAACGTAAAATCATGCGTTCTTCCCTAGCTAGAAACATATTACTTAAATGATTTTCAGCATTTTCCCAGCTTCCATTCCATTAAAATGCATGAGAAAACAGCAGTCAAAGAAGGTTTGCCAGATTAAAACAAGTGGGGGGGGGAACACGTTCAAGTCCAACTACCCAACGCCCAACACTACACTATATATATTCGCGCTAACTATAGTAATTTTGTACATCTTCATTCATGACCCTTGCTCTTCTCACTCGTGGATTGTCCCCACTAAACCCTGACTTGAGGCATGGATAGAATTTTATGATAAGCGGAACAAATATATAAAATTTTAAGAGGCGTAAATATATTTTTAATAAAAAAATATAGAATAATATCTAAAATATATAAGAATTTAAATTTTTTAAAGGGATGACGGCCCTCACCTATCCTTTCTAGGTCAATTCGTGCTTGACTTAACTTGATCCATTATATTTTACCTCATGCTGAAAAATAGAACAAAATATGAATTTAAAAAGACTTTAAAATAAATACATTTTTGTCCAGATCCTATAGCAACCAGCTCTGGTTGCATCAACTAAACCGGGGTTTCTTTGTCTAAAGAGTTGATGGCAATTGCTGGTCATGCACTCAAGACTAACATCACCACATTGGGTCCCCTTGTGCTTCCTATAAGTGAGAAACTTTTGTTCTTTGTCACATTAGTTGCCAAGAGGTTCAATGCCGAAATCAAGCCTTATATCCCAGATTTCAAGCTCGCATTCGACCATTTCTGCATTCACGCCGGAGGCCGGGCCGTGATCGATGAGCTCAAGAAGAATTTGCAGCTTCTCCATGTACATGTTGAGGCCTCTCGTATGACGCTCCACCGGTTCCGTAACACATCATCGAGTTCGATCTGGTACGAGCTGGCTTATACGGAGGCGAAGGGGCGGATGCATAAAGGGGATCGCGTTTGGCAGATCGCTTTCGGAAGCGATTTCAAATGCAACAGTGCAGTGTGGTTGGCCCTCAACAATGTTAAGCCCTCAGCTAGTAATCCATGGGAAGACTGCATTCACAAGTATCCAGTGCAGCTTACGCTGTAATAGCATAAGCTGGTAAATTCTCTATTTAGTAACGTAATGGTGTCGTTTTACTTGAATAAATTACCGAGTCTTGTAATTATGTCTGAATGGTTGAAATGTTATTGTAACTGAGCTGCAGAGTCAGCATGCCATTACATATATTAGTATTTGGGACTATTGCTGCAATGAGGAAAATCAATTAATATATATAAATGGTCCCGACAATAAGACAATATTTTGTTGAGTTCCCGACTATTAATAGTTACAAAATGGTTCATCGACTATAGGATGATGTTTTGTTGAGTCCCTCAGCTATTAAAAGTTACAAAATGGTCACCCGACTATTCATTATGTTCTAAACTCATCATTTTCCGTTAAAAAATTAACAACAATTTGAGCTGGATGCAAATCTGTTATATAATAGTCGTTTAAGATTCTGAAATCATATTTTATCATATCTCAGACACAAGATTAACATCCAACTCAGACTATTGTTATTTTTTTAATGTAAAATGACGTATTGGGAACATAATGAATAGTCGGGTGATCATTTTGTAACTTTTAATAATTAGGGGGACTCAACAAAGTAACATTCTATAATTGGGAGATCATTTTGTAACTTTTGATAGTCAGATGACTCAACAAAGCAACACCCTATAATCAGGAGACCATTTGTGTAACATCATCAATACCAGGTTAGTGGCTAAATTGTAAGATTTCAGAATTTGGTAATAAAAGTAGAATAGTTTAATAGTTTAATGATTTATGTGGAAATAAATCCTAAAAGTTGTTAGTAATTATTAAATGAATTAAAAGGCAAAATGGTCATTTGACTTAGAAATGAATAAAGTAATTATATATATATGAGGATAAGGTTGAGAGATTTCTCCACAAATCTCTTCACTCTTCGCTTTTCATTCTTATTCTTCTCCAACTTGAGACATCAAAGCAAAGGTGAGTTTTCTGATTTCTTGGTTGTTTGTTGATTTTAAGCATGGGTTTTGATCATTAGATGATAACTAAGCTTAAGGAAAGCTTAAGTTATCTTATAATCAAAAGATGAAGAAGTTATGAAAGATTTAAAGAAAATGGGTTTCTAAGTGAGTTTTTGAAATAGAGTTGATAAGTTGGATTTGAAACTAAATTTGACTTGTCATAGGTGTGAATAAGAAGTTATAAGTGTTAAATCAAAGTTTGGATAACATGGAAAAATTGGTATGATTCTTAGCCTTAAGAATTTGGATGAAATATGGAAGATTAGAAGGTGTTGGAATGATAGGAATTAGTTAAAATTGTTATAGATGAATTTAGTAGCATAATAAGGATTTTATACATGAAAATTTGGGTGAAGTGTTGATGATTTTTGGATGAAATAGTCTATTATGGGCAGGTGCATTGATGCACTATGAGTATGTACTGATGCACTAAGATAAATTTTGAAGGTGCATCGATGCATCAAGGGGTGCATCGATGCATGGATATGTCGAAGCTATTTTGTGTACCGATACACTCCTAAAGGAAAAGTGAATTTTTGGTTCATTAAATTAGCCTAAGTTAATAATATCAAGTTATAAGGTTTAAGCTTTTGATAATTGTCTCGGAAATTATGTTTATGTAGATATTGAGCCTAAACAAGTTCCAGAACAATCAAAGAATTATGATCGAATCAAAGCAAGGCTAAGGTGAGTGCAATTTTAATTGTACTTATGTTATTGAGCGAACATTGGCTTGCGATGAGCCAGTGATGGAGTTACTATGGTAAGAAGCGACTCCTAAAATGTTATTTGATTTGTGATTCTTATATGTGCATGAATACATGAAATGGATATAGGTTATTGTATATGTTACATGATTATATGCATAAGTGATATATGCTATGAGACATGACCAATGTGAAATGAGATAAGTTATGTGACTATATGAAAATGTTACATGATCTACATGCTTTCATGAATATGCAATATGTATTACATGTTGTATGAAACGACATAGATGTTTACACATACATGTGGTATGTGACAGAAGAAAAGGTACATGTGATATCAAGAGAAATGACATGAGTATATGAATATATGAAACGCAAGAATAATGCCCATGGTATATAATACGATAGCTATAGGTATAGTTGGCATGCCAAGAGTCGAGGGTTCTACGTGGTCCTTCGGGATGTATATGTATCCTTTGGAACATTTACAGGGTCTTTTGAGACATATTTGATTCATTGGAATATATATATGGTTCTTAAAGAGTGGTCCTTCGAGACAAATACAATACATAGGTCCTTCGGGAAAAATTTCATAGCCCCTAGTGGGACCTCATACGAGCTGTGGTGACAGCATAGTGCACAACCTCAATAAACTCGAATACCTTGAGTTCTCAGTAATGTACATGGGCTTACGAAAAGGTATAAAAGAGCTTGCATTATTACATGTTATCATGCTATTATTATTTACATAGAATCATATGTGACATGATTGAATGATTAGAATACATGTTCATATGGATATGAAATGCATTATTTTTATTATATGTTTTATATGCCTCACTAAGTCAACGACTTAGCGTGTGATTGTTTCACACGTAGGTTCCGAGAAGATGAAAAATGATCAAAGCTAAGCAATACAGGTCAGTTCTCCTTTCCAAAGATCATATCAGAAAAAAATTAAATAGTATGTATTTTGTAATAAGGATAGTGGTTGGCATGTAAATAAAGGTTTGAATACGATATGTTTTAATCGGTTTTGTTAAAATCATATGATATAGTTTTGTAATGTTTTTAAATGTGTATATGTACATGGTAATTTTATACAAACGAAAACTTGGATTTTTATGAATTTATATGTATTTTATCGAAGTTACTGTAGCAATGCATCGATACACAATTAATATTTGAAATATTTCACTGTTCATACGTATAGTACTGTTCACAAATACATATTTTTTTTCTTAGATTTTTATAATGAAACATAATTTAATTGTATTTTATTGTATTTTCTTATTATAAGTTCAAATGTTCAGTTATTTTGTAAGGAAATTGTTTTAAAAAGTCAATGTGACATCTCAGACTCGTATTCGGGTCGGATACGGGTTGGAGTGTTACAATTTGTGTACTTTACCATGTTATTTAGTATATTATCATTTAGAAAAAAGATTTTTATTATAAAAAACTCGAAGTATAATTTTTTCTTCAATTTTAAGAATTATCAATATATAATTTTTTTAATCAAATATTCTAAATTTTTAAGCAATTAAATAAATTATGAGCATATGTTTAGATAACAAATATTATAATATTTAATTAAACTAATAATCAAAATATATTCATATATGTTTGAAATAAATTTAAATATAATTTACATATAATACAAATTAAACTAACTCAGTAATTAAATAGATGATTGTTATATTTAGAAATCTCAAGTTTGAGAGCATCATATGTCAAGGGGAATTCAACAAAAGGGAAAAACTTACATCGGTGTAAGTTATTCCTTTTATTTTCTAAGTAACATGTTTTTTAGTCCGACTTGTTAATAATAGCTCTTCGTAGAGATATTTTTGAACAAACATCAACTCGTATTCAAGCAGCCTTTCGTGGTTACCCAAAAAAATTTAATATTACCATCATCATGTAGAAACGTTTTAATAGTTTGTTAAATGAAACAGTTACTTACTAGTGACTTATTTGCAAGCAAGATTAGCTCGTAGAATTTAAAATTTGTCATAATGTTTCAAGCTATTATACGAGGTGAAATAGTAAGAAAAAGGAATGAATTGGCTTACCATGCTTTAGGTTCTATGTTTCGTGTTCATGGTTTTCTAAAACCAGCAAAGGTACCACAACAACGCAACCAAAAGTTTTACTATCAAATTTAATTATAGTGAAACTGTGAAAGATAATAATAACGTTCCCACCGTCACCAGTTGCAGCAACAACACCAGCCATGGTTATTGTAGCGAGAATCGACACTATGTTGATGGAGTTAAGGAGAATGATGTTCCAGTTATCTAGTTGTTCTTCGACGTTTTTATCATCTATACTCTATCGGCTACCACCTCTAAAATAACATAAAGTTGTAAGGTAGCCATTGAAACATACGAGTTTACCTGAAACAGTGGTGTCTCGTTAACCTTTTTCGGTTGGGATCATGTTGATGAATCCATCTCTAGTTTTCGATTCTTTAGATAATATCTTGGGTTGCAGTTTAGGAGGTGAAAGCATGATCGAAGAAAGCTTTGGAACGGACATAAATGCATCTATTTGCTTTGAAGAAGAAGATACAAGAAAGTTGGAACTTGTAAAGAAGCCAAATATGTTTAGTGATGATTTTGAAAGAAAAAAATATAAATTGGGTAACAAAATGGAACTATAGGGATAGTTGAGTGACTAAGTATATAATTTACCCTTTGTGTTTTTAACGGAGTTAACGATTTCGGGCAAACGAAGTAACAATTTAAACTTCAAGAGACAAAACGTCTTAAAAAATACTTTAAGAAATAACTCGGTACAAATGAGGCAACGGTGATATATATATAGATATATATATGACGTCTTACTTAACGAAAAACATGGGGCAATTAATGTATAATATAAAATTGAAAGATCTTATTAAATTACATTTCTATTTAAGTACTTCACCAACCAGAAAAAAATGAACAAGTTGATATATTTATAAGATAAGATTGAAATTGTACTCTTTTGCCCCAAAGACAAATGGAAAATCCATGTCTTTCTGTCGTTTATCAGTTTCTCTCTTCCATTAATCAAACTCCATAAATGGATATAGTCAAAGATGATTGGCTAAGGAGAAGAAGAAGAGAGTAGAATGACTTTGAATGTATCCCGAAATTCCCAACTACCAACGCCCAACTCCCAATTTTCATCCATGATCAGTGAGGGGACTTTGTGATAGAGTTTGGGGAATCAACATAAAACTTTAAAAAATATAGAAATTAAAATGAAAATTTTTTAAAATTTTTAAAGAGTTTAATTTATATTTTTTTCATAAAAAGTGGAGTCTAATTTAAAAAAATTTAAAAATTTAAGAGGCTTAATAAGAATTTTTCCAACTCCCACCTCTCGTTCATTTCTAAAACATAATTCGATAGTTAAATTCAAGTTTGATATCTAATCTATTAATCTTTAATTAAAAAAAATTAGTACCGAAATCGATCCATGTTAGTAGATATTCATAAATTATTCTTCTATATATACCACTCTTGTTCACAAGCAAAACCCAACTCATTTCATCAACCCTTTACTTGATTCAAGAAAAATCCAAGTTTTCTTTTCTTGTTCTGAAAGAAACCTAAGCTTTTAAATTATGTCAAGAGATTTCTTACCAAGTGTCAACTTGAAGTATGTCAAACTCGGTTACCATTACTTAATAACTCCTCTTTTCACACTTTGTTTGATCCCTTTAATGGCTTTTATCATCGTCCAAGCATCGACGTTGAGCCTCGACGACGTCCACCGATTGTGGCTTCATCTTGAACAAAAACCCGTCACTGTCACCGTGTTCTTTGCTCTCATCGTGGTCGGGTCAACCATTTACATCATGTCCCGAACACGATCCGTTTATTTGGTGGACTACTCTTGTTATCTCCCTCCTCCACATCTCAAAGTCGAGCACCACCGGTTCATGGAACATTGCAAGCTGATGGGTGCGTTCGATGGTTCCAGTTTGGAGTTTCTAGGCAAGATATTGGAAAGATCGGGTCTCGGAGAAGAAACATGTGCCCCTGAAGCGATGCATTGCCTTCCGCCGAGACCGACAACGGCCGCTGCAAGACAAGAAGCAGAACAGGTGATTTTCGGTGCTTTAGATACCCTTTTTGCCAACACTAATGTTAAGCCAAGAGATGTCGGAATCCTTGTCGTTAATTGCAGTTTGTTCAACCCAACTCCTTCCTTGTCTGCAATGATTATCAATAAGTATAAGATGAGGAGTAATGTTAAGAGCTTTAATCTAGGGGGTATGGGGTGTAGTGCTGGTGTTATAGCCATTGATCTTGCTAAGGATATGTTGCAAGTTCTTAGGAACAGTTATGCCATTGTTGTTAGCACTGAGAACATTACACAGAACTGGTATTTTGGTAACAAGAAATCGATGCTGATACCGAATTGCTTGTTTCGAGTCGGGGGTGCCGCGATTCTGTTGTCGAATAAATCCGCGGACCAAAGTCGGAGCAAGTATAAGCTCGTTCATGCGGTGAGGACACATATCGGAGCAGATGATAAGGCGTTTAATTGTGTTCGACAGGAGCAAGATGATGATGGGAAAACTGGGGTTTCTTTGTCTAAAGAGTTGATGTCAATTGCTGGTCATGCACTCAAGACTAACATCACCACATTGGGTCCCCTTGTGCTTCCTATAAGTGAGCAACTTCTGTTCTTTGTGACATTAGTTGCCAAGAGGTTGTTCAATGCCAAAATCAAGCCTTATATCCCGGATTTCAAGCTCGCATTCGACCATTTCTGCATTCACGCCGGTGGTCGGGCTGTGATCGATGAGCTAGAGAAGAATTTGCAGCTTCTCCCTATACATGTTGAGGCCTCTCGTATGACACTGCACCGGTTCGGTAACACATCGTCGAGTTCGATCTGGTACGAGCTGGCCTATACGGAGGCGAAGGGTCGGATGCGTAAGGGGGACCGCCTTTGGCAGATCGCTTTCGGAAGTGGTTTCAAATGTAACAGCGCAGTGTGGTTGGCCCTAAAGAATGTTAAACCCTCAGCTGGTAATCCATGGGAAGGTTGCATTCATAGGTATCCAGTGAAGCTTACGCTGTAATCATTCAAAATTCCATGTTTATTTTCTTAGTGCTTCAACTTTGTTGTTCCTTTAAACTTAATGGCTCCTTAAATATTCTAGTGTAGGTCACTTGAGAGCTTACAATGTCACTTTTTGGTTGAATATCAAGGCTTTAATTTTACTTTCAACATCATCTTGACATGCTATTTTGGTACCCATCATTAAAATAATTAATGACACGTTAATATTACTATTAAGTTTTTAACGATTAGGTACCAAAATGAAACTTAAATTAAACGTTACATATGGTTTTGGAAAAAATTGAATACCTAAACAGAACAAAAATAATAAACTTGTAGTTTATCCTAAAAAACTACAAAAGATTTTGTCTTTCTCAAAACAGAATATAATAAGTTATAAAATATTACGATAGAACTATAAGCTCCACAACAAAAGTAAGCTCCTTTTATTTATATTGTCAGAGATTTACTGAAGTGATCTAAATTCAATTGAGTGTAAATTTTTAAAGGTAAGCACTTGAGCAATATTATATTAATTGAAGTTGTTTGATCTTATATTTAGTTTTAGTATATTTAGTACAATATCACTTGTGGATGCATTTCTAGATTTGAAGGAACGACATGTTTTATTATGATTATGTGATAGTTATGTCTTTGAAACCTTCTAAAATCGTACATTTATTTTATTGTTTAATTTAATTTAATTACTAATAATATACTTGTTATTTTATAGAAATTATATAATTAACATACATATTTAATGTTATCATTTATATTTTTTTTAAAAAATAAATCAATAATAAAAACAAAATTATATATAAATTTAAAGCCATTAAAAAGATCCGAACTATTTTAAGATTATGTTCTGGCTCCGTCCCTGGACAATATTGTCTCGTCATAGAAGACATCATAAACTCCTCCTATGGCATATAAAGATTTAAAATAATTATCGTCCCTTTTCGTTACTGTTGACTATCGTTAGCCTTCGAAATCGACAACTGTTTGATCCAAAATCGTATCGAGAGACTCGCTTTGACATGATGATTTCGGATATAGTGGTTGTTTCACCATAAAATGTCCACAAACACATGAATCTCGACTGAAACTTTTCAGTTTCCTCACTTTCGATCTCCTATTCATTGACTTCGGAGCATGTTCTAACAAAATAGAGGTTGCATTCGAACTTAGTGGGTCGAGGCGAATCGACCGATGAAATCTGGGATCGAACGACCACCATCTACGGTCGTCGGTGTTTCGGTTTCCTTACTTTGATCGGATTCAAACTCAATGGGTCGAGACGAAACGACTGATGAAATCTGAGACTGAACGACCACCATCTAGGACCATCGACGATGGCCTCCAACAATGATGAATAGTGGACGAACCCCATAAGGATTTAATTTTATATTTAAATTTTTTTATATTAAATAATAATAAAAATATCATGTCATAACAAAATAATAATAATAATTTCTAGTGACCAAACAAGAGTGATTCTAAAGTTCAATGATTAAATTGAAAAAATTGAAAGTACACTAAATAAAATAAGAGAGAGTAAAGTTCAGAGAAGAATGATGTAATTTACCCTAAAGAATACGCAGAGAGAGAGAGTAAAGTTCATAGATGAATGATGTAATTTACCCTAAGGGTACGTTTGGTTCACGGAATATAAGATTACCAATAGGAATAAAAGATTATTAGGGAATAGAATTACTGGGAATATTGTATTTTGTGTTTGGTTGGTTTAGAATGAATGTAAGATTACCGTGCTTGGTTAAAGAAATAAAAAATTATTAGAATATATATTTTACCTAATTGTCATTATTATATATTGTTTTTTAACAAGTTGAATTCTACTATAATATTATTATAATTAATTTATATATTTTCTTTAAAAATTTTAAATTAATATAATTAATATAATTTTTTTACAAAATTGAAAGATAAATAGGTTTAATGAAATGGTAAAATTTTATTTTAACCCCTGAACTTCATATAAAATTCTAATTATAGACTTTTTTGTAAATATTAAATAGTTTAAGGATAAATTTGTAATTAAACCTTCGTAGAACTTTTATTATTCAATGACATAAGAATGATATTTTTGAAAAAAATAAATTTTAAGGGCATTTTAATCCAAAACACCGATAATCCAACAATGCTTAAGGGAAGGGAGGTAATGACATTCCTGATAATATACCCCAAAAATTCCACCGTTAGTAATAAAAGATTACTGGGGGCTTGGAATGTTGGCCAACCAAACGGGAGAATGAGATTTCATTCCCCCAGTAATCTCAGATTACTTGAACCAAACACCCTCTAAGGGGCTGATTGGTTCAATGAATGTAGGATTCCCATGGGAATGGAATCCACATTCCCATGTTTGGTTGGTTGGGAGTCTCATTCTCGATAATGTTTTATTACAAATATTAGATTTTTTGGGATATATTACCGGGAATGTCATTACCTCCCTTTCCTTAGGTATTGTTGGATTACCGACGTTTTATACTAAAATGCCCTTAATTTTTTTTTCCAGAAGTATCATTCTTCTGTCATTGAATAATAAAAATTCAACGAAGGTTAAATTACAAATTTATCCTTAAACTATTTTAGATTTACAAAAAAAAATCTATAATTAAAATTTTATAAGAAGTTTAGGGGTTAAAATAAAATTTTACCCTTTCATTAAACCTTTTTATATTTTCAATTTTGTAAAATATATATATATATATATATTATGAATTTAATTTTTTTAAAGAAAATATATAAATTTTTCCAACTTGTTAAAAAAACAAATATATAATAAGAACAATTTAGTCAAATATACATTCTAATAATTTTTTATTCCTTTAACCAAACACGATAATTTTACATTCCTGCTAAACCAACCAAACACAAAATACAACATTCCCAGTAATCTTATTCCTTGGTAATCTTACATTTCCAGTGATATTCTTACATTCCGTGAACTAAACGCACCCTAAAGGGGTGTTTGGATCAGGTTATGTGAGATTACCGGGGGGAAATGGAATGTGATTCCCACGTTTGGATTGCAAAGATTCTCAACCCCCGGTAATAAGTTATTCCCAACAGTGGTATTTTGGGGGCTTATTACCGGGAATGTAATTCCTCATTCCCTTAGGTATTGTTACATTCCCGGAGTTTTGGACTAAAACGCCCTTATTTTTTTTTCAAAAATATCATTCTTATGTCGTTGAATAAAAAATTCTATGAAGGTTAAATTGCAAATTTATCCTTAAACTATTTTAGATTTACAAAAAAAATCTATAATTAGAATTTTATATGAAGTTCAGGGGTTAAAATAAAAATTTTACCTTTTCATCAAACCCATTTATCTTTTCAATTTTTTAAAAAATTATATAAATTTTATGAATTTAAAAATTTAAAATATATATATATATATATATATTATTATAGTAGAATTATAGTAGAATTCAACTTGTTAAAAAACCAAATATATAATAAGGACAATTTGGTAAAATATACATTTTAATAATATTTTATTCCTTTAACCAAACAATGTAATCTTACATTCTTGCTAAACGAACCAAACACAACAATGCAACATTTCCAGTAATGTGTTAGGTAATGTTACATTCTGGTAATCATATTTCTGCTGATAATCTTACATTCCTTAAACTAAACGCACTCTAAAGAATATGCCCTCGGATAAACTACTTTGTTTAGCCACCCAACTTTCAACATAACTTTGTTTTGGCCATTTAATCATAAAAAATCATTTTTATCCATAAAATTTTAAAGGATAAATTATAGGATTACTCACTTTCATTTATGTTTTATACACTTTTTCTCACTGATTTTAAGAAACATAAAATTTGGTCACTTTTGTTTTTATTTAATTAAGATATGTCAATGAATGTTAATTGTCGTTAGACCTTTAATAGTTCGTTGATATGGCAAAGTGAATATACAAAAGAGTAAATTACACAAATAGCAACTAATGTTTGAGTAAGTTTTTAATTTTCCCAATTGAAATTTCAAAAGTAACATATTGGTAATTAACGTTATCAATTTGTCACAAAATGATCACTCTACCGTCATCCCGTTAAATTGATGATGTGGCAATTATAGCAAAGAGGTTAATTTTAGTGTTACTCCTAAAAATACATTTAAAACATCAAATAAGTCCTTAAACATCAAATAAGTCCTTAAACAATGATTTCATAACTAATTTATCCCTAAAAACTTTCTAATTCCCATTTTTTTAAAATACCCACCACCACCGTATTCCTTCCCTCTCTCACCTCGTCAACTCCCAAACCCAAACGCAGTTGTCTCAACTTAGCCCCCTCCCAATCTGACAATAACAACCCTCAAACTCTCGACTCCATAGTCAAACCCTCGATTTTCCAATGTATTGTTGCTCCTTGAACGACATGATGCCACTTAGTTTTTCTTTTATTAATTTGAAATAGGTAAAAAGTAGTATCCAAAATCCATTCAAAGATAGCTCGTAACTATTTAATATTGTATGTTCACACTCTTGATATTCATGAAGCTCTAATTCGAGAAATAATAACAATTATTTTACTACTGAAGTCGCTTGATTCGTGCGACATAATGCCACTTGTGATCATATAGGATAAGCCACCGTATTTGCTTGGAACACTCACAGTTTTTCGGACGTTCAGGTTCAAAACCACTGGCATTGCATGAAATCTTTTTGTATTTTTCACTGATATAATGGAAATTTTCAATAATTTTCAATTTAATTTTTTTAACGTAATTATATATTTTTGTTTGTGATCTGATTTCTTTAATCTCGTTTACAGTAACATATATAATATTTTAAAAACTATCAAGGCAATTACATAATGGAAAGCTTGGTTAATTTCATCAACTTCGTGTTTAAGGATTTACTTGATGTTTTAGTGACCAATTTATTACTCGGAACTCTCTATATAAATTTTAATTTTTTTTTTCCATTTCAATCACTCTCAAATACAAACAACAAACACCCATCGCCCGAAAAATCAAACTCCTTCCTTTCTTTCCCCTTCATTCGCTGGCAAGGCGGTGAAGCCCACTTCCGAAATCCAGGGAAGTGGTCGTGTTCCCATGAGGAAAACTAAACTAGAAAGTTTTTTTAGTAGATTAGATATAAAATTATTGTCTAAGGATTTATTTGATGTTTTAGTAATCAATTTGTTACTTTTGAAACTTTAATGAGCAAAACAAAAACTTACTCAAATATCATTTGTGTAGTTTACCATTTCAAGTTTATATATTCATTGTGTCACGTCTGTAATCTGTTAAAGGTCTAATGACATCTAATCTTGAAGGACCATCTTAATTAATTAAAAATGGATATGACAAAATATTATATATATTTTTTTAATTCAATTAAAGAAAATGTACAAAACTTAAATGAAATTGATCAATCAAATAGTTTATCCAGTTTTAAATTTTGCTCAATTAATTCACTCACACATTAAATCTTTAATGCCAGCATCAAAATGCTATGTTTTGGGGATTTTATTTTTAGAATTAACCTAGATTTTTAAACCTTTTTCCGTGATCGACATCTTTTATTCTCGTTCAACTATTGTCGACCGTTGTTTGTAATATAACTGCTATTAAAATATTCCTTTCTTTTAGTTTTTTTTCTCAAAATAAATAAAAAAGATTAAATATATAAAATGTATCCAACCTTTGTATGTTTTTTTAGTATAATGTCTAACATTTAATTCGTTTAAGTTTAATATCTAACGTTTTATTTCATTACCCAAAATAAATCAAATCGTGACGGCCGTTAAATTTTACCGTTAACTCATTAAAAATATAACCTGACATATTTTTTTAATGTTAAAAAATGATTTGGGGGAAATATGGGATTTGGCTGTTAACCCATGGCCGTTATTGGCCTTGACGTCGTCGGGATTTGTATGGGGGTGGTCACAAGGGCCGGTTAGGGTCGTACTATGACTCCGTTGGTCGTAGGGGACTTCGACAGCCCCTTTTCCATCCGTTTTTCGACTGCTTCAAGTCACAGCTAGGTGACCGTGAGAGTCGCCAGCCCTTGTGACTGTTGTCGGTAAGTTCCGTAGCCATTGTTAAGTTCTACATTCGCTGGCAGATCTTTGAGAGGAAAGTAAATGGAAATGCAGGAAGGGAAAATGGAGAAAGATTTCCTGTTTCAATGGGGAAACAGAAAGAAGCTAAGATGTCCCAACAAACTAAAAAAACAGCACCACTTTGGCAACACTACCAGCAGCAGCGGAGGCGGCGGCACTTCCACGACGCCACAATCTTTACCTTTGCCCAACAAGAAAATATTCTCTTCGCCTGTTGTCAATCATCTCAAAATGTAAGACAAAGAAAAAGAAAGACAATTTCTTCACTTTTTGTTTATAATGTTTTGTTTATTGATTACCCAGAACTAGTAAATGAGTTTACAAGTGTAATGAATAGATTTGTGATTTGGGTTTTTGTGACAGAAATTCGGATTTAGGAACGAATAAACCAAGAGCGGCATTGACATCACTGGAGAAGGAAGATAGGTACTATGCAACAAGGGGATCAGGTTCCTTGATGTTGGATGATAATCACAATAATAACACAAAGGCTTTGATGGATCAACAAGTTAAGGAAGATAAAAGGATTGTGTTGCCCAGATTGTTTACCACATTATCTAACAAAGAAAAAGAAAAAAAAAATTCATGGCAATGAAGGGATGTAAGCTTCCTCAAAGATCTAAGAAAAGGGCTAAGTTAATCCAAAGAAGCATTCTCGTGAGTTCAAATCTACCCTTTTAATCTTTTGTTGGGTTTTCATCTCTTTTGTTTTCTTATTTATTGGGTTTGATCTTGTGTAGTTTGTGAGCCCAGGGACATGGCTATCAGACATGTATCGGGAGAGGTATCAAGTGAGGGAGAAGAAAACTTCAAAGAATGTATGAATAATTTGGTTTTCGCATTTTCACAAACATGTTTTTATCGAATTGTCTCTGGGTTTCGATTTCGATGTCATCTTATTTGATTTCACCGGTAGCCTTTAACCGAACCAAACCCTCCCTCCCTCTCTGTCGAAAAACGGATGGAAAAGGGGTTGTCGAAGTCCCCACGACCAACGGAGTCAGAGTACTGCCCTAACCAGTCGTTGTGACCAACCCCACACAAATCCCGACGACGGCAAGGCCAAGAACGACCATGAGTTAACGGTCAAGAACGATCCGTTATGACTTGACCTATTTTGAGTAACGAAATGAAACGTTAGACACCAAACTGAAACGAAATAAACATTAAACACTAAACTAAAAAAAACAAGCATAGATTGCACACCTTTTGTATATTTAAGCCTAAATAAAATTCAAAATCAAAACTTCAACCTTATCTTAATTTGATTTATATTCTTCACCATTTAATCAATATGGAATTGAGATATTTACTTTTCTTTTCCTTCTCAATCTCTCACCATTCAAATTTAAACCTCAATCTCTCACCATTCAAATTTAAAAGAAAATAATCGGGCGGATGAATCATATGAAGACTAGAAATTTGAGTTGGAGATAAAATATTTAGAATTGTTTACATAAATTATCACAAAATTTAGGGTTGTAAAGAAAATTAATGGCCAAGTGACCTAAACAAACGAAATTTAAAAGTTTAGTGAGTTAAGTGGCCAAAATAAAAATATATTAAAAGTTAGGTGATTAAATATGTAGTTTACCCTTACGCCTTTTCTTTCTCTGTCATTTTCTAGTCCAATATAGCTATAAATATGATAATACTAATGGTATCGTCGACTTTATGAAAAACTAATTTTCTAATTCAAATTCAATTTTAAATATAATAATACTAGTTATAAAAACGAATTAGAGTAATAGTATAAATAAAATATGAGATACTAATAAAAAGGTAAACTACGCATTTAGTAGCTGAATTATAAATTTTAATATGTTTTAGTACCAAACTTTTATTTTTTAATAACCATGTCTAACACTTAGTTTTTGTTCCATTTAATACCAATTAAAAACTTAACGTTAAGTTTTTTTTTTTTTAAAGTTTAGATACTAAGATGGATCAAAACTGATTACTTAGGTATTAAACACATTAAGCTTTTAACAAGAAAATATTAAAATAAAACAAAAATTAAATGTTAGATATAGTTTTGAAAAAAAAATTAAATACTAAAACGAATCAAAAGTGATAATTTAATTACTAAATGAGCAATTTACCCTAATAAAAATTGGAAAGTAATAGCTTAAAGTGTAACAATATGTGGCGTCTTTGGAAAGGGAATTGCATGGTATGGGAATATGCTTAACAGAGCCTAATGAGGGTCGGTAATGGGAGAAATTGGTTATAGGGGGATAAGACCTTTTGGTTGAAAATTATGTTGATGTTCAATACTGAACAATGGTGTGTTTATGCACGAACTAAACAAACTTGGTAATTAAAAAATTGTTGTTATTCTTTAAGGTCCCGGGTTCGAGCATCATGAACGTCAAGGATGTGAGAATTCAATGTCAAATGACTGAGACTTATCTTTGAACAGATATTGTCTTGTACTTACTCTAGATTATTCAATAACATTTAAGTCCTTAACGCTAAAACCAACGCAACAAGCCATTTATTGGCATAAATTTTCCTAATTCCCATACGCAATGCAAACATGTAGGATTTAAACCCAGTCTCATTTGGGAAAACTGAGCAGCAAAAGCATGCTAACAAAATCTCGAAAACCATCCTCTAAAGCGAAGCAATAAGAAGAGACCATAGCAAAAAACACTTTAGAGTTATGGCAAGTCTTGAAAGGCAATACCGTGTATAACTAATTAAGCAAAAAGATCTAGGTGTTTGTTGCCCTAGTGTAAATCTGCTGGCTCGAATGGGCGGAAACCAACCTGATCGACCCTCTTGCCATCAATTCCCTTATAGCCTTCCTCGCAAGTGATCCATTAATCTGCAAGACAGGAATAAAACAATGTCGGGACTTAAATGGCTGAATGCAGATTCATGTAACATGAATTCACACATGCATCAAGAAGCACACATAAAAAAGAACCCGAGCAAGAACCAACATCTTACTCTACGGCACAATAGCACAAGTGTATGTTGAAAACCTTAATTAAAGAAACAGACGATTCGAAAGAACAAATGCTTTACAGTCATATTAATCAAACAACAAGAGCTCACCCCAAAGGTACTTTGACATTTCAATGCCCTTTTGATTCCATTAAGATGCAGTTCAACTTTTATAAGCTACATTACTAGCTATATTAATAAAACCTGACCTGGATAAATACCTGCGAATTTCTTTATTCAAATCCAAGCGAGGCACAAACAAAACAATATTTGACTTACATGGCCAAATGCAGGTTCGTGTAATACAATTCATACATGCATTTAGAAGCATCCATATATAAGAAAAGAACACATCATCAAAGCTCATTTATCATCAATAATTAAAACCCAAATAGCCACGATTCAACACTAATAAGCCCTGGTATAATCATTGAACAGCAACAAATCATGTAACCAAACAAACAAATTAGATCTCCACATTCAGATGAAAAATCCAATAGTATCACAATTCACAAATGCAAGAGTAATGGAAAAGGTCATACAACAGAACGATTTACGTATAAAAATTATAAACATAAGAGGTTAAAAAAATCAGAAGTACCCTCAAACGATCAAAGAGAATGGAGGGAGTGATGAGCTTGTATTTAGGAGCTTCGGCGAGAAGCTTGTCATAAGTAGCTTGGTCGAACAGCACCATATTGTTCACCTTCTCCTTTTGTTTTCCCTTGCTCCACTTCTGTTAATACCCAAAAAGGGAAAACGAAAAAGAAACCTACATCATATCTAACTCTGAAAGCGCATAAAATCAAACACGTTTGTTTGATGGTAGCGAAAAGGAATTGACCTTCTTCTTCTGCTTGCCGCCACCAGACTTTGCAGGCTTGGATGATGGAGGAGGGGCTTTGTCTTTCTTTGGGGCCTGAAAAAACAAACCAAAATATGCAACAACAAAATCGAGATTGTTACAAATCTCAAACGGGATTGCTTTGAAAAACGAAGAGTGACAGATGAAAAAACCATTGGGATGTGGTGAAAGTGAAGAAGGAAGGGGAAGAGATGAGGCGCTTTTGGTTTTGGGTACGGTGATAGGGATGGGATTTAGAGAGACTAGGGTTTGGGTTCGGGTTTTAATTTGGAGAAAATAACCTCATTGACCAAAAATACCTTATAATATATGAATTTAACCAACTTTTTTTGGATTTGCCAAAATGACCAACTAAATCGCAATGCGATCGATAATTCACAACGCGATCTCCGGTATCGCAAATCAGTTTCCAGATTCGCAACGCGAACTTCGACTATCGCAATGCGAACTTGGACTATCACAATGCGAATATGTAAATCGCAATGCGAACTTGGACTATCGCAACGCGAACTTCGACTATCGCAATGCGAACTTGGACTATCGCAATGCGATAGTCGACTATCGCAATGCGAACTTGGACTATCGCAATGCGAATATGTAAATCGCAATGCGATAGTCGAAGTTCGCATTGCGATTTACATATTCGCATTGTGATAGTCGAAGTTCGCGTTGCGATTTTCCAAATTCGTTGCGATAGTCGAAGTTTGCGTTGCGATTTATTCCAAATTCGTTGTGATAGTCCAAAATCGCAACGACTGGTGGTATTGCATTTGTTTCTTAAGAATTTTCTCTAAAAAAATAGTATTCGCGCGTACGTGTCGAAGACACGTATTATCACGACCGCGACCGGACCCGACCCGACCCGACCCGACCCGAGACGAGACGGACGGCGACAGCGGCGGCGCGCGAGAGTCCCCCTTGTTCTCTATCACTCAATAAGGAAGTGGAAAAGCCAAGTCTTAAATATCATTCCCAATAGTGTTTCCAATACTATGTGGGATTGAGCATTACCAACACTTGTTTCCAATACAATGTGATTATTGAGGAAACAATTAACAATCATGCACCTTAAAACAACTGAATCAGCAACCAATTGCATTAGTATTATACGATTAAATATGTCATAATTAAAAGTCAATCTAAAATCAATCGCAATTATTGCAATTTTAAGCAAAACATTCAAAAATAATATCACTATTTAAGGCTCAATCCCACATAGTATTGGGAACAAGTGTTGGTAATGCTCAAATCCCACATAGTATTGGAAATACTATTGGGAATGATATTTAAGGCTCGGCTTTCCCACTTCCTTATTGAGTGATAGAGAACAAGGGGGACTCTCGTGCGCCGCCGCCTTCGACGTCCGTCTCGTCTCGTCTCATCTCGGGTCGTGGCCGTGGTCGTGGTAATACGTGTCTTCGACACGTCCGCGCGAATACTATATTTTTAGAGAAAATTCTTAAGAAACAAATGCAATACCACCAGTCGTTGCGATTTTGGACTATCGCAACGAATTTGAAATAAATCGCAACGCGAACTTCTACTATCGCAACGAATTTGGAAAATCGCAACGCGAACTTCGACTATCGCAATGCGAACTTGGACTATCGCAACACGAACTTCGACTATCGCATTGCGATTTACATATTCGCATTGCGATAGTCCAAGTTCGCATTGCGATAGTCGACTATCGCATTGCGATTTACATATTCGCATTGCGATAGTCCAAGTTAGCATTGTGATAGTCGAAGTTCGCGCTGCGAATCTGGAAACTGATTTGCGATACCGGAGATCGCGTTGTGAATTATCGATCGCATTGTGATTTAGTTGGTCATTTTGGCAAATCCAAAAAAAGTTGGTTAAAATCGTATAGTATAAGGCATTTTTGGTCAATGAGGTTATTTTCTCTTTAATTTATTTAATTATATATATTAGTTTAAATTTTATATATATATATATATATTAGTTTAAATTATATTTTTATTTTAGGTTCTTAATATTTTTATT